CCCGACGCGGGGCTCGAACTCCCGGACCGCGAGATCGTGACCTGGCTGAAGTCGGACGCTTAACCGACTGCGCCACCCAGGCGCCCCTCTCCTGTTTTTTTTTTAAAGTTTATTTTTGAGAGAGAGAGAGCGTGAGCACAAGTTGGGGAGGGGCAGAGAGAGAATCCCAAGCAGGCTCTGCTGTCAGCGTAGAGTCTGACGTGGGGCTCAATCCCACGAAACTCTGAGACCATGACCTGAGCTGATATCAAGCGGCAGAGGCTTAATGAACTGAGGCACCCAGGCACCTCCCTCTCTCTTCTTAGTTTGCTGATAGTTCCTCTCCCCCATGAATCTCTGTTTAATTTTACCAGATACTTTTTCAGTTTCTTTTAAGATGATCGTTTCTAATCTCTTATTAAAATTATACTAATTGATTTTCTGGAGTCATACTCTTATTACATTCTTAATAAATACAAGTTGGCATGATATGTTATTTACATGTGTGTTTTTTGTGTCTATATTGTTAATTTCATGTAATTCTGTTTGATACTAAGGAATTTTGCTGTCTATTGTTCATGAATAAGATTAGTATATAATTTTTTATTTCTCAGATTGTTGGGTTTTGTTGTGTATAAAGCTTATATTATAAAACCAGATGGCCAGTGCTCTCTTATTTTCTCAGGAAGAGTTTAAAATTATAATTATTTCTTTTTTGAATTATTAGTCACATAGGTCCAGTCCAGAATCTTCTTTGTAAAAGGCTTTTAATTCAGGTTATAGGAACCTGATTTTTTTTGTCAATTTAAATTAAAAATTTCCATGAACTTTTCCATTTCGTCTAAATGTTAAAATTTATTAGCATAAAGTTATTCATGTATCTTTTATCTAGTGACTGTTTTTATTATTCCTCCCTTTCCTTGAAACTTTTTGTTAGAGAAGAAGGACATTCTTTTTTGCTATCAGTAGAATAGAAGTTGTGCATTATTTTTAACATGTTCTGGTACCTTAGAATTTACAAGTACTCATCGAAGTCTGCAGTTAACCCGTTCTTTCACCTTTTCTTGAATAATACAAAGATCTTTTATCCCCAGCTTGATATATATGTTACTGTTTTGTGTATTTAAATTCTATTTGTTTTGCTTGGTATACAATTATTATTTTTTACACTAGCATTCATTTACATTTATCCACAGATATACTGATTTCTTAATTCTTCAGTTCTTTGAATCTCTCATTTAGTATCTTTTATCAATAGTGGGAAAATTGTTGTTATTGTTGTTTTTTGAGAGAGAGTATGCTCCTGTGCTTGTGTGCGAGTTGGCGGCGGGGGTGGGGGGCAGTGGGGAGAGAATCTTAAGCAGGCTCCATGCCCAGCACGGAGCCCAACAAAGGGCTCAATCTCACCACTGTGAGGTCATGACCTGAGCTGAAATTGAGTTAGACGCTTAACCAGCTGAGCCACCCAGACACCCCAATACTGGAAAATTCTTAACCACTTCCCCCCAAAATATTACCTCTACCTCATTCTCTTTTAGAGTCTCCATTTAATTAAATCCTTCTCAGTTTATCCCCCTTGTCTCCTAAACTCTGTTCTTTTTGCCATTCTGTGCTATATTTGGATGATTTCTTCTGATCTCTTTTCCAGGCCACACATTCTTCAGCTATCTGTAGTCTGCTGTTAAATTCTTCCATTAAGGTTTTAATTTCAGTTATTACATTTTCCATTTCTAGGAATTCTTTTAGTATTTTTTTAAACATCTAGGTCCCTTTTGTGTTTCCTGCAGATATTTTCAAGCTTGTTTTTTATTTAAACATAGTAAGTATAACTGCCTTTGTGGTCTGTGTTTGATAATTCTAATATCTTAAATCTTTGTGAGTCTGTTCATTAATTGTCTCTGCAGCCTCTTGCTCAGGTGCTTAGTGTCTTTCTGTGCTTTGTGTTGGTCCTTCTCTTTGAAAAATTATTTGTAGGGATAATTTGAGAGCTAAAAGGTAGGTCTTTATTCCAGAGAGAATTTGTGTTTGCTTTACATTCACAATACTTTATATTTATGCCATGAGGTTACTTGGACCACCAGGTGGTCCCTGCATCGCATGGGTTAATTCTTTCTCTGAGGGTATATAGTTCTTTAGAGTCCCAGCTTACTGTGAGGAGAGTCAGGGTATCTTACTAGACTGTTACTTTGGGTGGGCCCTAAGGTTTGATTTCTGATTCATTACCTTGATACCATTAGACCTGAAGTTCACATACTCTTGCATTGGCAAATGCCGTCAGGACAGAAGTGACTTTTGTGTTCCACTTGACTATCGGGATTCCTATTTTTCATTCACATTTGGAATGGAGATTACCTACTTGATCTTGGCCGCTCTTCAGAGCTTTTAGTGATTTTTGTTTTTTAAAATCCATATTTTAGCTGCATTGAGCAGAGAAGGTGATCTGAGTAACAGTTAACAACCATTTCTAGAAGTAGGTGTCATTTTTTTAAATAAATTGACTTGAGTAAGATTAGTAATCTGATAGAAATGACTAAAGAGGAATGTCTTTATACTTTTGGTATATTTTTATGAATTTGATATAGTTTATATATTTTGATACTTTTATGTATTTGATGACTTTGTCAACAGATTTCTAAGACATAATGTAAAAAAACTGTAATTGGTTGAATCATGTCATTAGTTAATTTGCAGTATATGAAGTTTTATAGTGAATTTTGCAACTTATAAACTTCTGGCTCTGTCAGACCATACATTGTTTACTTTTAATGGGTTGAATGAGTCTGAAATCTCATTTATCTTGTCAGTCAAATGTCTTGTCAAGATGTGTATCTTGTCAGTGTCAGAATGGTATACAGCTGTCTTGAATGTGCTTAATGAAATCTTAGAAACCTAAAATGAATATTTCTAATTTACTCACCTTGCCAGAAGTATTTATTCATTATTGTTTATGATTATATTCATTATTATAATTATAATTATGTATTCATTATTGCTTATAATTTATATTGCATGCTTAAGCTATTTTTAGATTTTGGAGTTCATAGTTTCAGTCACAGTAAAATACAATTAGAAAAAGCGTCTTAAATCTGTTTTTTGTGTGTATGCTCTTTTAACTGGCTTTCATACCTGGTCACAACTGCTTGTTGTACATGATTAACCCACATTTGTGACACAGTGTAGTTTAGTCTTTTAGGGAAATACTCAAATGATTTGTAGGTTTGTTATTAGCTTACCTGGTGATGTTATACTTCTCATCAGGTAAGAGGTTAGGGCTGGGCCCAAGGAAGGATCCTTACTGTGTTGGCTGATAGCTAGCTGTCTGTCAGTTAGAAACTTAGGGAAGTTATTTGAAGGTGACCAGTCAAGCCCAAAATAAGAATGGTACCATCTCCCACCTTGTTACTTTTCACTAATTTAAAATGCATAAATATACGCTTAATCTGGTATAATTATAAATTCATTGGATCTGTTAGGAAAATAATCACTAAAGGATAATATGTAATATTTTATAGTGTTTATCATGCATAATCTACTTTACATTTTAAAACTTTTTTTAAAATTTTTTCTTATAGTAGACCCAAATGATTTGTACATCGTAGAACCCCTCAAGTTCTCTCCAGAAAAAAAGGTAATATTTTGATCCTTTTTAAGTATATTGTATTACTTGGTACTAGATGAGGAAATAGCTTGAAAGGTTTGATATAACTGGTCCTTAAATTCTACTGTTTACTTTCAGTTATAGTAATAACACAAATAAATGTTACAAAGGTCAGCAAACTATGACTCACAAGCTGTATCTGGCCTGTGGCCTGTTTTGTATGGGCCTGGAGCCATCTTTAAAGGGTTGTAAAATAAAAAAAGAATATGCAAGAGAGACAGTATGTGAAATACAAAGGCTAAAATACTTACTGCCTGGCCCTTTACAGAAAAGGTTTGCTTTTCTGTGAAGCAAGTTTATGTGAGAAAGCAAGTTATGTGAGAAAACTGAAACTCGGAGATTTTGTCTTCTTGGAATGATCCATTAAATGAGTAGCAAAACTCAAAATAATACTATGGTTTTTTCCGTTTTGCCTCTCAAAGTAAGTTGTACTCTTTTTGATTAGAGGTGATGGTCTCTAGGTGAAAGAACTTGGACTTGAGAGACAAATAAATCCAGGATTCAATCCCAACCTGGCCACTTGCTGTGTTGCAACTTGAGCAGAGAACCAAACCTGTGGACCTTGGTTTTCTCATTTAGTAACCAGGGATAAAGTACCCCCTTCTCAGGGTTGGTAAGGAAGATACACCTGAAAGCAACTTGTGTGGTACCTGGTGCTTAGTAGGTACACAGCTGTTAGTTATCACCCCCTAAGTCTATTGTCAGAGATGGCAGCTAAGAGGGTTTTTTTTTTTTTAATGTTGTGTTTAGTTTTTGAGAGAGCCTGTGCAAGTGTGTGCTAGTGGGGGAGGGGCAGAGAAAGAGGGGGACAGAAAATCTGAAGCATGACAGGGTGACAGCAGCGAGCCCAGTGCAGAGCTTGAGCTCACAAACCGTGAGCTCATGACCTGAACCGAAGTCGGACGCTCAACTGACTAAGCCACTCCGGCACCCCAAAAGAGTTTTGACTGAGTGTATTTACAAAATGAGAAGGTAATGGTGGTATCTATGCAGAACATAACAGGACGTCACGCTGTTCATAATGCTGTTTCACTTTTCACTGGGAGCTGGCACTTTCCTCCATTAGTTCAGCTCTCCAGGTGTTTTGAGAGGTTAACTATTGGAAGTCTAATAACTACCCTTTTTAAAAATTTGTGTTCTAGAAAAAACGCTGCAAGTACAAAACTGAAAAAATTGAAACCATAAAGCCGGCAGACCCACTGCACCCGGTAGCCAATGGAGACCTAAGAGGAAGGAAGCCCTTTATGAACCAGAGAGACTTTTCTAATATGGGCGAAGTGTATCACTCTTCTTATAAGGGCCCCCCATCTGAAGGAAGCTCAGAAACATCATCACAGTCTGAAGAGTCTTATTTTTGTGGCATTTCAGCTTGCACAAGTCTGTGCAATGGACAGTCCCAAAAGACAAAAACTGAGAAGAGGGCTTTAAAACGAAGGCGATCTAAAGTCCAAGACCAAGGAAAACTGATAAAAACTCTAATACAGACTAAGTCAGGATCATTGCCGAGCCTGCATGACATAATCAAAGGAAACAAAGAGATCACCGTGGGAACATTTGGTGTCACAGCAGTCTCGGGACATATCTAAAATGAAGAGAACTTTTCATACTGGAGACTTTTTTTTGTTGTTCTTTGAAGAACAGTCTGTGGTATTTGAAGGGTTTGGGGGAGGGAGAAAATATTAATGGGAAAAGTATTCAGAAATTATGGTTTCTGCCTTTTTAAAACAGTAGGTGGGATTGTGTCAATCTTGATTAATGAGCTGCAGTTTTACAAGGCTGATCACTTCCTACAGGGACAATGGTAGACATTTTATAAAGATGTTTTTTCACAGATTAATTACTGGGACAAACATAATTTGGAAGCCCAGTTCCTTTGGGTGGGATAGGAATGAAAGCCTAAACCTCTTCCTTTAGCTTTGTTCCTATTTCTTGCACCTTCCCATATTTATGTGCCTTTCGTCTATTTATAACGCCACTGGAAGAGGAGGGAGAACTTTTTCTGTCGTTTGATTTCTTTTATAACTTTGTTAGTTTTTTGAAGCTGCAAACACTACAAGGCTTTAAGGTGATCTGTGCCTGAAGTTCAGTAATGTGGGTCAGACAGTGTAAAGTCCTACAGATTTGCCGACTAGACTTCTGTTTAGCAAACTCACTGGAAACAAAAAAAATTGCTGGAATTTTTAAGTCTTACTCTTTTCGGTAAATGGCGATACTGGTATTTTCATTTAACTTGTTCACACTAGTTTTTCTCTAGTTACTAAATGAGAAAAAAGCCTACAAGATCTTTTCTTGCAAGTGACTGGTATTTGCAAATAAATTTTTTATAAATTCACCTTTCAGACACATTTAACCATTTGTAAAGGATTTCTTTAGCTACATTACATTTTAAACATTCACAATGAGCACTAATCCTCCAGACTTTCTGGTCAGTGTTTCCTGTTACTGCAGATGGAACATTTGAAGGTTTGTCAAATGAGCCCAGGTCTCATGTGATATAATCACTGCCTATGTCCATATACCCAGAACCAGTTAGTGAGTTTGTCAAACCTTGTCTAATTGGTCAAGTCTAAAGGGATTATTATTCCTTGATGTTTGCTTTGTATTGGCTACAGATGTGCAGAGGTATACATGTGCGATGTCAATGTGTCTGTCTTCATTTTGTCTTTTTTTTTCTTTAAAAATAATTGGCAGTGACTGTATTTGAAGAAAATGATTTCTTAGTGTGTGTTTGTACAGTAATGAGTGAAAGTGGAAAGTTTCTTTTTGAAAGGGAGCGAATTGACCATTTTGTGTTATAAGATTTAAGTTATAACTTATTGAGCACTTTTAGTAATAACTGTTTTTAAATCTGTCTAATACCTTTCTGGGGGTATTGTTTGTAATGTGACCTATTTAAAGCCTTTTTTGTTTGTTTAAGTTGCTGCTTTTAGGTTAACAGTATGTTTTAGATGATTTAAATTTTTTTCCAGTCTGTACAATTAGCCATTCAGAGCAAGAGGGCCTGATTGTATAGAAACTCACTGAAAAGAGGTCCAGAGGGGAGCAGAGCGAGGGCGGGAAGTTCCACATCCGTGTCAGCACCCAGTGTTGTGGAAAGATGACTTTCAATATGTAACTACAGAGCTGTAGTGCCATTAGAAACTGTGAATTTCCAAATAAATCCGAACACTTGTCTTTATTAATTACTGGCTCTTCTGTTCTTTGAAGGAGAACTTACAAATGTATTCACCCTGAACACAGATTGAAGTTTTGCCGCTTTGAAAACTAAATACAGCAACATCCCATTACATAATTGATCACATTTAAGGCAACTCTAAACTGACTGAACTTACACATAAACATTTTGTTCCCTGTACAATCAAAATTTCACCATTTGAAACACAAAAAGGACAGTTTTGATCTTTATTCAGGGGAATACATGTCTGTTTTCCTCTTATCAGGTGCCATCTTGAGGACGATTAATTTTTCATTGTTTCCACATTTTACAATTTGGGGTTTATTTTTCCTCTCTGAGGTTAGGCCCACATGAGGAGAAAAAAAAGTTCTTGCCATTTGTAGATTTGCACCTGGTAAGAAGCAGTGTATACATAATAAGCTCTCAGAGGTCCTTGAGAGTCAACCTCATTCTATTTTATTTCTTGTAACATTAGGCATTAAAACAGCATACAATGAAAGGAAACTGGGGGATTTTAAGAGCAAAGATGCCAAGTAAAGCGGTTCCTTTAACTGGATTTTTAAAAACACTGTGTTACACATACATACAATTTGAGGAATTAGTTTTTTGTAAGTCTTGTATGGGAAAACAGTGGTTCTCTACTCTCTGCCACTACACGCCCCCCCCCCCCCCCCCCCCCCCCCCCCCCGGCCCCACCACTGCCTTTCCCCACCAAGGATTGTTTGCTTTGCAACAGCATCCTTTTCAGCTCTTGTCTTATTTTACCACTTAATGGTTTTCCAGTTTAAGAGGTGTTCTCAGTTTGAATATATAAGCTTACATACATGAATATGAAGTAGATCTATTTGTTAACCTACTTGGACAAACCTACGTAAGATTGCAGTATATGAAGTAACATGTCAATTTAGAAATACTGCTTTTCTAAAATCTGTATTTTCATAGGGGGTGCCTGAGTGGCTCAATCAGTCAAGTGTCCAATTCTGGATCTCAGGGTCTTGAGTTCAAGCCTTCCATTGGGCTCCACGCTGGGTATGGAGCCTACTTAAAAAGGAATGAATGAATCTGCATTTCATAGAACAAATTTATTAAAAAACCTCATGCTTTTCCCCAGCTTTTTAATTTGAAAATTTTAAAATCCACAGAAAAGTTGAATATCCATTCACCTTTACCCAGATCCAGCAGTTAACATTTTTAGTTTGTTTTTTCTGTGCGTGTGTCTGTGTGTGTGTGTCTATTTGCATACACAGCCATGCACAGAACATTATTTTGGGTGAACCATTTGAAAGTCGGGACACTATGAGCCTTCACCCCTAAATGCTTAAGCATGTGTTTCCTAAGAATAAGGACATTCAGCTATGTAGCCACAATACTAGTATCATGCCTAAGAAAGTTAATAATTCCAGAATCTAATACACAGTCTGTAGTCAGATTTTTCCAGTTGTCTTCTGTGGACACTTTTGTTTTTTTGGTCCAAGGTCCAGTCAAGTTCATTTGGTTGTATTGTCTGTTTAGGTTTTGTTTTTTTTTTTTTTTTTTTTAAGTTTATTTTATTTTTGAGAGACAAAGAGCACAAGCAGGGGAAGGGCAGAGACAGAGGGTGTGAGAGAGAGAATCCCAAGCAGGCTGTGCACTGCCAGGGCAGAGCCCAACACGGGGCTCAAACCCACAAACCGCGAGATCATGACCTGAGCCTTAAAGTCAAGAGTTGGACACTTAACTGACTGAGCCACCCAAGTGCCCCTATTTAGGTTCTTTTAAGTCAATACAGATGGCTTTATGACTTTGCATGTCTTCCTTGTGCTTATTTTCTCTGAATCATTCCAGTTTTAGTGTATGGGCTACCAAAGTGGGCACTAAGAGCTTTTCAAGTGATGTGTTCATACTGTTACTAAATTTTATCCCAACCCACAAGTATCCGTTTGTATAACATTAAGACATTAAAAAATATCTTACGGGAACATGTATTCATGACCCCTGCATCATACCCCACTTAATAGGTTACTTTCAAAATTAATCTTTAGAATATTTGTTTCCAACAGAGTTCATCACTTGCAACTGTAAAGTCATACACCCTAGACTACCAACTGAGGGTTACATTTTTTAATAAAGCATGTATTAAAACCCACCAAATGCCAATTGTGAACATAAAGTAGATAAATCTGAGCAAACATAAGCATTTGTGATTTTTATTATTCTCCCCTTTTTAAAATGTTTTTTATAATTTTATTTTTTTAATTTATATCCACATTAGCATATGATTTCAATAGTAGATTCCTTAATGCCCCTTACCCATTTAGCCCATCCCCCCTCCCACAACCCCTCCAGCAACCCTCTGTTCTCCATACTTAAGAGTCTCTTACGTTTCATCCCCCTCCATTTTTATATTATTTTTGTTTCCGTTCCCTTATGTTCATCTGTTTTGTCTCTTAAAGTCCTCATATGAGTGAAGTCATACGATTTTTGTCTTTCTCTAATTTCACT